AATGGATCCTGGTGTATCACCAAAGTTTGCGTTGCCGGAGACATTCGACGGCGTGAGAATGGAGATCACAGGCCAACTAGGAATGATCTGGGAGCTAGTGAAAGCACCAGTGATTGTTCCTCTCCTTCAATTCTCTGTTTACATATGCTTGATCATGTCTATTATGCTCTTATGTGAGAGAGTTTACATGGGAATCGTCATCGTCCTCGTCAAACTCTTCTGGAAAAAACCAGACAAACGCTACAAATTCGATCCCATTCACGACGACGAAGAGATTGGATCCTCCAATTTCCCAGTCGTCCTCGTGCAAATCCCCATGTTCAACGAACGAGAGGTAGATTCATTGCTCTGTTTTTGCCTCTGTTTTTTATTTTTCATTTATACCCCAAAAGTTTTTAAGATTTCGAGAAAGTAGCCTCAGATTTTACATTTTCCCATGTATTCACATTCCTCCGGCGTTCCAAATCCCGAAACGGCGATAATCGAGTCGAGTCTTCTTTAATTGTTCTGGGATTTTGGGTTTTCCTGTATAAACCCATAGTTTAGGGTTTAATCATTGTAAATCGCTAAATTATTGGGGTCAATGTAAAATAAGAAAAATGATTTTTTTTTTACTTTCCCCGTGATTTTTGCCATTGCAGGTTTATAAGCTATCAATAGGAGCGGCGTGTGGACTATCGTGGCCGTCCGATCGACTCGTGATTCAAGTCTTGGATGACTCCACAGATCCTACTGTTAAGGTATTATTTTTATTTTTATTTTCATTTTCATTACTAAGTCCATAAAACATAAATATTTTTCCACAACTTTCTCTAAATGAAACCATATTTAATCACTTTTTTTTTCAAAAGATTTGCTTTCTTTATATAATATTTTGTGGTGGGTAAGAAAAATAAAAAGGGAAATCTTTTGAACCGACTGTAATTAATTAATTTTGGAACATTGATTGGGTTTTTTTTTCTAATGTGTGAGTAAATAAGAGACTTAAAATGTGCAGCAAATGGTGGAAATGGAGTGTCAAAGATGGGCAAGTAAAGGAATCAATATTAGGTATCAAATAAGAGAGAACAGAGTTGGTTACAAAGCCGGTGCTTTAAAAGAAGGACTCAAACGAAGTTATGTCAAACATTGCGAATTCGTCGTCATTTTCGACGCCGATTTTCAGCCTGAACCCGATTTCCTTCGCCGTAGCATTCCATTTCTCATCCATAATCCCAACATTGCACTAGTCCAAGCTCGATGGCGTTTCGGTAATC